AGAAATTAGGGTTAATTTTTAGCTGTTTTCTTTCTTTTCTCTAGATCATCAACTCTTGAAAGGAAAGGTTGAGAATTCTAGGTGTCATCCTGCACATGTGTACTCCTATCAGCAGTCAGAACTTACGGTCTACTAGCACTTTCTCTTTCTCAGGATGTCACTCGCCACCTGCCCTCGTTCTTTGTCCATGGCATTGATGTGACTCTGCTTACCTGGTTCACCCCTCTCTGGGGAATGAGACTTGTGTTCCAGTTAGATGTGGAAATCACTGAGGGCAAGACCACGTTGCTCATTTCTGTGCCCTGGCACATGCCTGAGCTATTGAGCTATTAATTTTTATTTAATACACGTGTTCACTGTTTGTTTGATAACAATTACTTTATTAGGCACCTGCTGTGTGTGTGGCATAGTAAGCATTATTCTGGACACTTTTGCTCAACACCCAGCAATGTTATATGTTCATCATAAGCTTCTACAGGTTAGGACTGTATATGAATCTGTCTTTGGTAGGTATCTTTAAGAAAAAAATTTAGACATATATATATATACACACACATACACACACTGTGGAGGGGATGTTGCCAACATTTGGTGTATACATTAAGTGCCATTTTCCATGAAATTCACATGAAAATTTACATAAGGTTTTATAAGAACTGCAAGAGGCCACTGTGTGTGTCTAATGGTTACTGTTTCCTCCCTGAGTCTTGGCACCAGGGCTTTCTCCTAAGTTGGGTCTGAAGCAGCCTCGCTCATTCAGCCTTGGGTCTCACAGCTCCTTGTTATTCTTCCTCCATCTGAGCCTCTCTTACTTTAACAAATTATATGAACAACCCAGGAAGCCCAGATTTGAAATTCAGTGAACAAAATGTTGGACTCCTATGGAGTGTTTCATTAGGCTAAAGAGAACTTATTCAAAAATCTGATGGAGAAAGAAATTCATGCATTGTCTAGGGCCAAAGAAAAATTCTAGATTATTTACTTTCATTGAAGTATATGTGTTAGTATTTGTTTTTATTCAGAAAGAAGTTCACAAAATCCTCTGGCCATCAGACTCAAGCTTGTGTTATGGAGACAAGGTTACACACTCTCATGTGGCATCACTGGATCGGAGAACAATGCCATGAACCTCAGAGCTCCGTGTGTTTGGGAAGCGCTACGGTCTGAACATTTGTGTTCCCCTAAAATTCCTATGTTAAATCCTAACAATAGATGTGAAGGTATCAGGAGATGAGACCTTTAAGAGACCAGTAGATCATAAGGGATCTCCTCATGAATGGGATTTCTGGCTTATAAAAGAAGGTTCTAAGAGATTCCTCAACCCTTCTACCTTGTGAGGACACCATGAGAAGTCAAAATCCCTTTTCTGGAAGAAGGCTGTGACCAGAACACGACCACATTGGCATCCTGATCTCAGACTTACAGTCTCCTGAATGGTGAGAAATACATTCCTGTTGTTTATAAGCCACACAACCTGGGCTATTTTGTTACTGCAACCCAAAGGGACTAAGGCAAGAAGATTCCATCTGCTCTCATAAAATGGTACCTGGATCATCCAAGGCTGGCAACAGAGAGTAAAACCCCAGAAGGACGGGAAGGTGGATGCCATGACCCCAGCTCTTGTAACCTCAGGGTGAGGTCAGGGAGATCTCTCACTGGTCACTGCTATGGCCACCACGCAGACCGAAGTATGCACACAGATCCCCACCCCCGACAGAGCAGCTGAGAGCATCTGGGATATCTGAACTTGACTCTGCAGGAGGGGCTGGGTACCCAAATGGAAATATACACAAAGGAAGCATCCATGTGGGTGAACTGGTCACCACATTTAGTGTATGGGCCTTGACATTGGCTCATGGCAGAGATATCTGCCTGTCTAGCCCTAAACCTGCAGACCCTTCCTTGGCCTCTGCCTCCTAGAGCACCCTCTCCCACACATCTGACTCTGCAGAGTCCAGTGAAGATGCCATCCAGGGGCAGCTGTTACATCTGAATGCTCAACCCGCTCAGAGAAACTTAAGCTGCACTCTTAGAAGAGAGTTTCTTCCTCCTCACTACAGGGCAGAGTAAATGTCGCCACAGATGTCTACAGTTATTAATCCACATTCATCAATGAACAGCCCATTCTGGCTAGAGACTCCATCATATGGGCATTCTGTTGGCAAAGACAATGAGTGTGACCAATAGTTTCTGAAAGGGAACCTTATAACCAGTGATATATCAATAAGTTTGAAGTCCTAAGACAAAATTTCTGCAAAACACCCCCTGTATCCCATCAACTGCAAAATACGCATATTCCTGTTCCGTGCTCCTGCAGCACGAGGCCTTTGTGCAGTTTCCGACCAGAGAAAGATCTGAAGGCCGCAGGAAGTCTTATCTCCTTCCTCTGTCTTGCTCTCCATTGCTTTTCCTTCTCACATTGTAAAGGTAAAGGCCCTTAAGTACTCTGGTCCTAAATAAAGTGTAGTTAGTTGGTCCTCATACAAGGTCTAAAAGGTTTGTGTGTTTCATAGATAATAGTTGAGAGGGGACTGAAGTCCCTGTAACACCACAAATTTTATCAGCCAGCACCTAAGTAAGTGGGAGCCTCGGTAAATGGATGGGTTATGAATTCCCATTGGCCGATGTTCACCGGGTTAGTGTTCAGGCCTCCGCAAAGGTGGGGAAGGGTCTGCGATGGGGGAGGTGCCACACCCCACACTCTGCAACGCACCTGCTCTTCTAGGTGCTATAGGAGCCATGAGGCTCCTGAGATAAAGGAGGCAGCGCCCCTCACTCAGTTCCCTCCTTCCCACACTCCTCATTCTTCCATTGTTTTTCAAGGCCAAGGTTCACCTGAGGATGAAGAGACTCTTCTGTATTAGGAACCTATTGAATTATTTGAACAATCAGAGCCAGGCAAATTTTCAAAGGCAAGGGAGTTTGTCTTCTGGGCCTTTCTTCTGTTTTCATCAGCTGCTTCCTACCCATGTGCTAAGCATTTTCATGTAGTCTCATCTGTCTTTTCATAAGAAAGCCAGTTGATAAACTAATTCACACTCAGGTGGGCTGTTAAACCACAAAATGCTGGCAAGTAAAACAGCACTTAATAATAAATCACACGACGGTAAGCTCCGCAGCCAGCAGGAAGATGTGGGGGTATGCGTAATCCCCGCTATTTCATGGATCATGCTGCATAGACACCAGTGATCACCGTGCCTCTAAAGCCGGGCTTGGGCGTGGAATGATAACAACATTCCAGGCAGTGTAACAGGACCTTTTTTTTTTCTTTTGATCAATGCTCGCTGATTCAAGGACCATGTTTCTGCTCAGAAATTCATGCTTAACTTCTTGTGAGGTACTATGCTTCTGGAAGGTTTAGAAACTTGTGTTTGCAGATAGTACTTGGGTGCACACTGAGTCCCAGTATCTCTGAATGGACTTTGTTAAGACTCAATGACACATATCTCAACAATAATGAAATTGCCAATCTCATCTTCCTTCAAGATTTTTTTTTTTAATGTTTATTTATTTTTGAGAGAGAGACAGGGTGAGAGTGGGGAAGGGACAGAGAGAGAGGAAGCCGGAATCCAGAGCAGGCTCCAGTCTCTAAGCTGTCAGCACAGAGCCTGATGTGGGGCTCCAACTCACAAACCACGAGATCATGACCTGAGCCAAAGTCAGACGCTTAACCCACTGAGCCACCCAGGCGCCCCCCAGTCCCGTCTTCTTATAACTAGAGAGAAGATGTTAGCAGTGTTAAGAAATCTCACCTTTTCCTTTTGCCTCAGTACTTGACTGTCTCAAGGCTGGAGGCCTACTAGCAGCAGTTGGATTATTAAAATAAAGATGGAAGTTTACCCAAGTAGTGCCATCTCTGAAACAGGATGGCTGATGCATTCTGTACAGTCCCCCCATAATCAGTCGAGCATTGCTCCTAAGAACGGGTGCTCTCTGCCTATGAGAAGGAGCACCATGAATTACTTCATGATGCATGGCCCTGGCATCCCATGCAGATGGACATGGAGGGGTGGGGGCCTCTAAAACGAATGATACATTGGCTTTTCTCGTTAGTAGCAAGCAATAGTGAGTTCTCTTTTCCATAGCTCGGCGCCCCTAATAACATCAAAGAAGTAATGTCCTTCCTTACGCACATAATCTGCTACCGGAGAGAGCCATCAGCCACAGGAAGAATAAAACTCCATATGAACTATTTTCTCATTCGTCAGTTCCTTTTAAGAAAATCATTTTCTTTCATTTTCCTACTTCTTGAAAATGTATTTGAAATTTTTTTGCTGGAGAAGAGTCAGGAAAAGTTGCTTCGGAGGCCCCATATTTAACTTGCTGTTTATTTCTCTTACTCTTTCTGCTAAATGAAACCTCATTCTTGGGCTCCTATCACCCCAGTGGCTGTGGACCCGACTAGACTGACTTCCATGGACAGAATGTTTTGTTTATGGCCTTTCAGCTAATTATCAGTCAATATGCATTTTTAGGAGCCCATGAAATTCAGCATCAAATGCACAAGACTTCTTATATATGAGTTGTAACTTCCCCTAAACTAATGACTATATGGTATGATCTGGGAGAGTTCTCATGGTACAATGTCAAGTATATTTCTGAAAACTAGAAAATTCAGTTGGTGATCTATATACTAAAATCATGTTGGAGCCCTAAAGCTGGCCTGATCACAGTTCTCTTTGATAACTCATTTAGGCTTTGACTAAGCCTGAGAAACAATCCAATACAGTGCCCTCAACTTAATAAGGAGTTCTGTTTCATAGGATTTTCTGTGAACCTGCCTTTCATTTACACTGATACTTAAAGCCCTGCATGTTAGGGTCTCAGAGTTATTTTAGATGCATTACCTTTTCCTCAGCTCATTTTATGATTCAGTAAAAGCTCATCTTATTTTTACTTTTCTTTCTGAAGCATGACCTTAAATAAATAAACTCATTATTTATTTTAACAAAGAGTCACTTGTACTATGAACCTTTAAAGCCAGATGTTGTAAACAGTACCTGCAATTATCTTCTTTTTCAAGTTTTGAAAATGAACACCATATTCATGTGTCCTCACCTTCTTGGGTCTCTTCTACATGACTGTTCCTGCTGAGGAATCAGAGGAGAATGCGAGGGGTGTTTGGAGATTGGGAAAGGATAAAAGTAGCCTCTGCACCCCTGTTAAAAGAGGGTAAAGGCTAATCTTAGCAAATGCAAAAACTGATTCTAGAACATTCATTGAGCAATCAGTTTGCAGCTGCCTACTAGAGTAGGGACACTGAGCATCAAATCATTTTGTAAAAAGGAAACTGGGCTGGAAGAAGTTAAGACCCTTCCCTGACGGGGCATCGGGCCACACGGATGAATGGAATGGACACAGAGACTGCAGTGAGTGGCTTCCTTCCACCCGGGTTCTCCTGGAGACGGCCGGTGTGCCCTCGACTAGGCCCGACGGAGCTCTAATTGCCTCTCAGAGCCAGTGACATGGGACCTTCTAATAGGTAAACCATTTCATAATGAGTCCCTCCTGGTCCTTTAGTAAATAAGTCTCTTGGGAAGAAGGCCAAGAAACCTCAGCCCTTCTCTGAGTTTATTTCTAGAGTGATTACTGTCATGCTTAATTAAGGTCTCTGTGTATCAGATAGGTGCACAGTTAGCTGGAAATGTTTTCAGAGGCTTAGAGTCAAACTTGGGGGAGGGAGGGGCAGTACTAATTTGATTTTTTCTTCCATAGATAAAAATTCCTTCCTCCTCCCACTGCAAGCTTGTTGTGTTTTGTAGTGCACCCAGCCTCACTCAAAAAATTAAAATTAAAATTAAAATTAAAAACCCACAACAGCACTCAATCACGTGGGCAGCCACATCTCAGCACCAGCAGCAAGGACAGAGCAAAGCTCTTCCATAGTTCTGCTCTACAGATGTTCATAGTCTTGGCATCAAAACTGAAACAAACAAACAAATGAAAAAATAAAAGCCTTATTACCAACACCCTAGAAATAAGATTTCAACTCCATTGGAAATTGAATTTCTTCCATATTCAATCAATATTTAATAAAGAGAGAAAAGGATCTCATTACCAAGACCGTCTTGTTTCTCCATAAGTCATCAATGTGAGTTCCAGAATTTCAGGGAGCCGAGTTCTTAATTGGAACATTATATATTCTCTTTGCAGCCAGTGAGCACGCGCCCCTTCCCAAGAACACACCTCAGCCAAACCTTCTCCTGGTTCTCACAGAGATTTTAGAGCAGGCCAGGCCTGGGGGCACCGTGGGGAAGCAGGGAGAGCCAAGCACACCCCAGGGGCGCTGGGTTTATGGAGGGTTGAGTGCATATCAGGCATATCCTCAGGTTTTATTTTCAGGTTGAGTATTGCTAACTAGTCTGTACCAGCCACAGGCTTACTGTGGGGAGTTTATTCTATATCATCTGTGTTCTCTCTTCCTTAGCAGGGCTTAATGAGTTGAAGGGATTGGAAAGTCATTCCCAGCCAAGCCGATATCCTATGAGTTATAAATGACATTTCATCCTCATATGCAGATTTCCTGCACTGGAGTGAATTATTTACAAGATAGAGCTTGTGGGTTCCAACAATCAGCTGCCTGAGATTTACACCCACACTCCAGTTTCTGCTCTCCTGCTGCGAGAATGTGAAGTTTCCCACTGCCCTGTAAGATCTGAAGATTTAACAGGAGCAGAAGCTCCCTTCTCTGGGAGCAGAAACAGAACAGTAAATGAAGCCATTCCAAGCCTGGCTTCTTCCCCTCTCCAAAGAGGATGCTGTGTGCACGGAAATGCAAATGAGGGGCACCAAGGAGAACTTAAATTCTGGGAGACCTTTCTGGCCCATTAGGAGTGATTTCCTAACCTGGAGTTTCACTTAATTAGTATAATCATTTCCTCCAGAATGTGTGAGAATCTGCATTGTCTCCTAACAAAAGCACTGCAGTGAGCTCTCTCTTCTGAGGAACAGAAGGGCTGACAAGCCTCCCAACCTCAAATAAGGATGCTGGAATTACACGGGTCCAGAACCAGGCAAATCCATGAGTAGAACAAAAAGATAGCTCAGAAACCAGTTCAAGTATATTTACATCAGCAGAGTAGGATAAAGGGGTTATTTCAAATTAGTGCAGAAAGAGTTTTAAAAAAAATACTTAGAATGGGGGACACCGGGGTGGCTCACTTGGTTGAGCATCAGACTTTGGCTCAGGTCATGATCTCACGGTTTGTGAATTCGAGCCCCATGGAGGGCCCTGCGCTGACAGCTCAGAGCCTGGAGCCTGCTTCAGATTCTGTGTCTCCCTCTCTCTTTGCCCCTCCCCTGCTAGTGCTCTGTCTCTCTCTGTCTCTCTGTCTCTCTGTCTCTCTCTCTCAAAAATAAACATTAAAAAATTTTTTAAATACTTAGAATGAGAACAACTGACTACCCATTTGGGGCGGGGGAGACGATTCCTACTTTATACCTCAAACAAAAACATATTCTTGCTAAATCAAAGACCTAGTATAAAAAAATAAGAACCAAAGGAGCATTGAAATAAAATATGAGAGAATATCTGTGTAATCTTGCCATGAGAGTGAATAAAATGAAACAATGAACAAAATGACCTATTTGGCTACAAAATACTATAAACTTTCTCCCAATGAAATCCAGACTAAACAAAATTAAGGGACAAGTGACAGACTGTGAGGGGAAACATTTACATCTAAGTATTAAAATCTCGTATTCAAATAAACTCAACAGATCAAAAGAAAATGACAAACAGTTCTCTCAAAGGGACAAAGAATACACATAGGCGAGAAGTGGCTTGAATGGTAAATGTCTATGAAAAGATGCTCCACCACACTTCTGATTAGGAATATGGAAGTACATCACAATAAGACACGCTTTTCCCAAATCAGAATTTGCAATCATCTATTGCTACTGAGGATATGATGAAACAGGCATCGTCTTAACTTGTGGCAGGAACAACCAACTGGTACAGACTTTGGGGGATCAACTTGGCATTATCAATAAAATATGACCTTTGCATGCCCTTTGACCAGAGAAGCTCACTTTCATGGTTCTTTCAAAAAATAAAAACATAAAGATACATGCACAGAGAGGCTGACTGAGTGTTATTTGTAATAAGAAACATTGTCAACAGCCGAAATATCTACCAGTGTGAGAATGGCTTAATAAATTATGATAGATTCATAAAACAGAATGCCATATTCCCATTAAACCTGGATACAACCAAGTTTCCATCAGTAGGAGAATGGTTAAATGAATGTAGTGTCACCATTACATTAACCATTACATGTGGAAGTTTGGTTAGGACGTTAAAATAATTGGCCTCTGCCTTGGCCTACATCACACGTCATGGTCCACCATCTTCCTAGTCTCACTGCCTTCAACAACAGGGACCAGATGGCAGTGAGGAGCCCTCGCCCATCTCAGCACCGGGAAGCCAGAGGGTCTCCATCTCACCTCCTGGAAAGTGACCTGACAAGTTCTTATCACCTATTTCTGTTCCCCAAAACAGCCCCCAGCCTCAGTGGCTACCTGAGCTCTCTTCTCTTGACCCATACCCTCAGACCCCCCTTCTTCTCCCTTCTTCTTCTCATGGGGAAGTAGCACCGGAGCAGAAGCAGGCACATCAGAGCCTGTTGTCAGCAAAGGCCCCCAGGGCGGGTGTTCTGTTTCATTCCTTCTTGTAGCCTCAGGCCCCAACACAGTGCTCCGCACATGGCAAGCGCCCAGCCAATGAAGGCTTGTTCAATAAATAGAAAGATAATTCTTAATATAAAAGGAAACACTTTTTTGAGACCAAGATGCCATGTGTATGTTTCCTTAGTGCTAACATATTTTCATTCTTTGGTAATTAATTTTATTGCTATAATTTTATTTCTATAATTGAACCCATCAGAGAATAAATGCATATAGTCATGCTAGAAAAATCTCTTTGAGTGTGTGTGTGTGTGTGTGTGTGTGTGAGAGAGAGAGAGAGAGAGAGAGACAGAGACAGAGACAGAGACAGAGAGACAGTGAGAGAGAGTCTCTTAGAAGTTATCATCCTAAGCAGGTCAGGAATTTGGTTCTTTGAAAAATAAAAAATCTTTTGTTTGTTTCCTAAAGGAAATAGTATGAAGAACACAGCACTCATTTGAATGTCTATGTGTTGAGTTTGTTTCATTAATTCATTAAATGTATTTGGAGTGTCTACTGTTCACGCATCCCTGTTCCAGGAGAGGAGGAGAATGTATTGCTGTAGGCAGGTGTTTGAGGATGGCACTAAGGGAAAGGAGAAATCCAAAATCAAGAAAAGACCTTATATAAAGCTCCTGAAACCAGAGGGAGCCTGGCATATCCTAGAAGCTGCGCAATGTGCTCTGTTCAGTCTGGAATGTCCATTGCAAGCAGGGGTGGGGTGGGAGAGGATGGAGGCAGGAGATGCTGAGAAATGAATTCGGAAGGGTAAACACATCACACCACACCATAAATGGCTGTATGTGTCTGGCCCCATCCTGAGAGCACTGGGAGATACTGAAGGGTTGAGAATACTTGAGGCACAATGGATCCCCGCTCCGCACGCTGGCTCTAGGAAGAAGTCTCAGGAGCAACTTGGAGGGTCATTGAAGGGGCAGGATCAGAGGCAGGCCGATAGCCAAGTGTCTCTCTAATACACAGGTCAACGCAAGTAGGGTAGTTTCAGAGCACACCACAAGCAGAGATAAAAGCAGAGTCGAAGGTATTCAGAATTTGCAGTGTCAGGACCTGGGGGATGGGCTGGGGTTGGTGCAGAGAGAGAAGTGGGGACGAACAGGTGTCTGGCACTGGCTGGGATTTCAGAGGTGAAGGTGAGAATAGAAGGAGCATTTCAGAGGGAAGGGGGATTGGATTCCATCTCATACTTCTTGAACCTAGGGTCTCCAAGGGACACTTCCCTGGGTAGAGTAGCCAAGCAGCGCCAACTGACGATCTGGAGCCCAGACATCACGAATTACCAATCCTAGTGTGTCCCAGAGTCCGGACAAGAGGAAACCCAGGATGGGGAGAACAGACAGGCTTCATCTGAACCAAATGGCTTATGGACATAGCTAGTGATATTGACTGAATACGTGTCCTGCAAATTCATACGTTGCAGCTGTAGCCTCCAATGTGATAGCACCTAAAGATGGGGCCTTTGGGAGGTGACTGGATTTGGATGGAGTCTCGAATGTGGCCTATGAGAGGGCCAGTGCCCCTATTGTAAGGGGCAAAGACCAGAGCTCTCTCTCCTCTCTCTCTCTCCCTGCCTCTCTCTTCAACCCCCTCTGTCTCTCCCCCTCCCCCTTCCTCGCGGGGCCATGCGAGGACACAGCCAGTAGATAGTTGCCTGCAAGCCAAGAATCGGGTATCACCAGGAACAAAATCCGCCAGCACCTTGATTTTGAGCTTCCAGCCTCCAAAACCATGAAAAATAACTGTCTTTTGTATAAGCGCCCAAGTCTGTGCTGTTTCGTTAATGCAGGCCCCAGACGGCTAAGATGGTTAGACCGTACTGGATTTGAAAACTAGTTGGGATTTGAATCAAAGTACAGGCAAGGTGACATTCTAGATAGAAAGAACAGCGTTGAGCCTGGAGGAAAAAGGGACTCATCAAAACTGATTTCTGATCAGCGAATAGATATTATTAGGAATCTGTCCAATAGTTGGATGAAGCATTTCCAAGTTGAGGCTCCTGTAAGCCTATGATTAGTGTTCCTGAGACCCTTGGGCCTCATGTGCCACAATGAGCCACTGTCTCTAGGGGACCAGCTTTGTGGCCCCCGGTGGGGGGGGGGGGGGTCAGTGTGGACAGGACGATTTGTTGCCTTTTGGTGTTAGAGCAACATGAGCAACTGTATGTCTGTGCCTTCTCAGAGGACGGTCACCACGCTAAAAGTGCCACCCGATTCCCAGCAGAGTCCAACAGTCTTTGCAGAAACCAGAAAGATCTTGCCAGAAAAAGCAGCAGGCAGCAAAATATTCTTAGTACGTGCCGTGGGGATTCCCTTTCCTTCAAAACCCAGTTAAAGGCTGGCAAATAGAGATCTTGCTCAACTTAGGTTTTACATAGCAATTTGCTATTTTACTTAAGGGCTTACTTTTAATTTGCC